TTTTAAAAAAAATCTTTATAGCAAATAAATTACTGAGTGTAGATTATTTTCTGGTTTAGAGTTTAGGCCCCTAGATAATTGCTCATTTACTGTAGATGTGTTTATAACTTTGTATGTTTTTTTCACATTGACATAACATTGTTGAAAACATTTCTGAAGAACATTTTGGCACAGTATCATATATCAAAAATAAATTACATTGTTGTCACAGCCTATTTGAAAACCAATGCATCCACCCTCTGCCTTTTCCAGTGATCCGTGAATATCAAAATGATGGTTCGGAGCACATTACAGTCAGTGGAAAAGATAAATACACTGGCTGGTTTGAGGTTGAGCTGACCGAGGCAGAAAAGCAGCCATTATCAAATGCAAATTTCTCCCATTTATCAAAGGCCTTTCCATAACCGCCATGTTTAGCCAAGCACCTCTTTGCCTTATCTCCAACAAAGTACCTGTAGAAATACTGATACTATGAGGAGACGGGAGAGCTGCAGGCACTACTCTCTGACAGTGAAGGTGAGTATATATTGAACTTACAGTTTCTCAGTTTATTTAAAAAGCAGTTTGAAAGCTACCTTTTTAATTAAGCTGAGAAAACGAGTAACTACAAACCTAAATAAAATGATAAAACAATCATTATGGAAAAAATATACGTAACATTAATAACAATTCTCAAATTATGGTCAACACAAAGCTCTATTTATAGTCACATTGTCAATCGTGTGTCATCACTTCCACAAATAGCTTTCCATTGTGACAAAAGAACAGTCCACCAAAACAACACAGCCATACTGAGACGTCCACACTTCCTCTATCACGCATTCAGCACCACACTCTCCTCTTTTAGGCTCTTATCAGAAGGAAACAGGAAGAGAAAGGCTATCTCCATCCTCAGGCTGAATAATCTGGTCCAGGATGAAATATGACCAGGCTAAATCCCCTCCAAGCATTTGAAAGTTCAGTGTGCAGATAGCAAATAATGTATTGTACAGTATATGGAAGTTTGACATTTAAATGGAAGCAAAACCCCTCAAGACATCATTAATGAATACTCCCAAATGTAGGCTACTGTATACAAAGCAGCAATAGTAAGAAATACATGTGTATATCAAAGCAAAATGAAGTTAATGTATTAGAAATATTGGTCAAGCTCTGTATCAAAGAGTAATTGAGAGTAATAATGTTAGTTCAAAGCGTTGATTCAGAACTCAACTTTTGGGAATGGTGGCAGCGGTTCCTCTTCATTCTAAACAGTGTGAGAATCCATGCCGAATTAGGCTGAATATTTGAATAATAGCATGACATTTGACACAAAGGCAGGTGGTCAAAATGTTATGTCTAATCATCTGTCTAAACTTCTCTAGCCCTCCTCCTATCAGTAGCATGTTCTAAAATTGTCTTGAGTGAAGTGTGTCACCTGATCTTCTTTAAATTTTATTTTATTCACTCTAGTAGACTAGTGTCTTTATGAGGTGAGTAGTCTAATCCTGTTTCCCACACACTACTCTACTATAGTTGACTCTGCTCTGGCACCAAACCCTTAAGTGTTTTATACTACAATTACAATGCTTGTGTTTTACAAGAGTTAGCTCAAGTATGAAGAGGGAAAAGTGGGTGGTGGTAGGATGGAGCTTTGGTGCCAGTGCTGCAGAGCTAATGTATTTTTATTGGTTTAGTGGAGCACTTGGCACTTACAGTGATGAAAGTAGCACTGCACAGCCAACTATAAGTCCACAGTAATTTAAAATTATTATTATTATTTTTTTTTTATTCAATAAAAAAAAGAAAAGAACATTTATTTGTCTCAATTGCTGCCTTTGTCATGACCATTCAACATCAACATTTTGGTGAATTAATCAATTGTTTTAGTGCAATTCAATTGATTCACTGAGACAAACTTGAACACAATGAACACATTTCAGAAACAAAAACTCGAACACACCCTATATACTCTGAAATATTTAGTTCAAAGCATTTCAATCAAAAATCATTACCACGACACACGGCACGACACATGTTGTTCCCAGATCGGATAAACCAGCACCGTGAGAGTAAAGCCCTTTCCATCAACTAAGCCATCTACTCCATTATCTGCTGACAGGCTCCACATGACTGGAGAAAAGCTGTCAGCGCTTCAGAAAACACCACACTTCTCCTGGTACAGAGGAAGTGAGCGGTCAAACTCAACAGGATTGTTTTTCAAAGTCACAACAGTGTGCTGCCTATAGTGAAATCCAACCACTTCACACTCATTTAATTTTCTGTTCTGACAGCTGTTCTGACAGAAAATCCACACACGCTGAAAGTTGAGATTCAAAAGCTATTGATTACAAAAGGTACAAGAGGGTGACTGCTTATGATTGCTGTGATCCCCAGATTGGTTTTGGTTTTATATTTCGCTAACAACTGCTCTAAGCCATACATAAAGTGCACCTTGGTTTAAAGGGAAGGGAAGTCAAAGGCAGCTTCTAAGTGTAATATAATGCCACAAAAGGCTTATTTGCTTACATAGTTGATGCTGGTAGAACTTAAGTCACCACTGCCGAGGTTATAAAGGGTCTCAAAGCACTAAAGCGCATGAGGAACACACATGTGGCTGGACAGATATAACCTGTCAAATTATTTCAGCACTTTATATGCAGTCTGAAGTTTAGTGTTACTGAAAGTGAAACCTTAAGTTATGTGGAGGAATATTATCAATTTAAATTAAACATTCTATTATTATACAACCTGTCCATACAACATTAATAGAGGCAAGTGAGTGGCTGCTGGATAAGATAGCAAAAGTCTAATTTGAAGTGTTTGGTACTGCATGGTACAAGAGTCAGAAAATTTGAAAAATATGAAGACATTTTTTTGTTTTGATCATTTTAGTATCTTATTTTCTGGAATAGAGACACACTAAGATTATCACGCGTGTATTTCAATAATTAAATACAACCTACTAAATTCAGCAAATGAGAAATTGTGATCATATATTGCACTGATCATATATTGAACTGAACTATTCTCCAGTAATAGGATTATGACAGCTCTCCATCTTTGCTCATGACAAAGAATGTCACGGGAAGTAAAAGCCAAACCTCACCAAAGTCAAACACTTCAACCACAGATTGCAGCCGGCTCTGAGACAAAGAGGGAGATGTTTTCATAGTAATTCCCACCGGGACCATTATTCATTTGTGCTTCTTGTGGAGGGGAGTGTGACGTGATGGGGGCCACAGATGTTAGGATACATGAGTCAGACTGCTGAAAGCCACAGGATGCATTCTGTTTTAGCGTGCCGCTGTGCAACCTGTAGTGCTCTCCTGCACAAAGCCATTTATTACTAGGTCAATATGGCAAACAAAAGAGAGAAAAAGAAATGTCAGGATAATCAATCTGACATCCAGTTAAAAAAACAAACTAAAAAAGGTACTTATAATTAAAGGGCACATTTTTTTTTCATATTTTGTTAAATAATCAAAGTATAGTGTGAGCAGAAGAACAAATGCATCATTGTATAGGAGATAAATCCAAATGTATTAGCTATAATAAAAATAAAAATAATAAAATCTCAATTAATCAATCTATCCTTTCTTAATGTTAAATATAAGGGGACTGGACACCGGGAACTTCGGGAAAGATCAATTTGTAACTGCCCACAGTGTAAACTCAAGCCTTTGTAACCAGTGACCCTGACAATCGCCAAAAGCAACCCACTTAACAAAGCCTAACCAGAACATCCCATTGAAAAATTATCTACTTGTGCCATCTCGTCTACTCAGTAAAAGCACAGCATGTGACATGTAACAGGATTACAAGGTCAAATGTCAGATAAGAAGCTCCTTGTGTTAAACAATTTCGGTGGACAAAACTATAACATGATAATTGACTAAAAGGGACACATTGTGAAGGATGTCAATGCTTTAACCTCAGGACCATAACTCTTTTGGAATTCTCCAGAGGAAAAGCGCATGTGATTCTTGACCCTAAAAGAGGACAGCATTTGATGAACAACCAGCAAGGCCAAAGCTGTGATTGGTATTCACCCTCTTCTATCTGAGTGCACTGAACCAAAACACGGTGTCTGTCCCTGGAGTGTAAATTATCGTTGTGACCATGATAAATATGGCACACAGTTGGTGGATGCTGAACTCTGGCTAGTGTGAGTGTAGGATCGGCCAAACTGTGTAATCTGTCACTAAAAGGGATTCAAGCAGCACACATCCTGACAGCCTCACAAGTGTCATGGTCAGACCAACAAACAAAGGTGATGGATGCGTTTGTGGTGGTTTACTAGTGTGGTGCAATGCAATGGGGAGTGCAATCTCCATTTATATAGGGTTATTTCATTTTGGCTTCTCAAAACAAATCAAACCATGTATGAAAAGAAATGATAAATCAAATTGGAAATAAACTGACAAAACAAAAATCTAAATGTGTGTAAAATTTGTATTTGTCATTTGGATCTGTCACTTTTATTCCAAAGTAGTTGTTTTTATGCTTGGTAAAGCAAACCAGGATTGAGGTCTAATCGTGAAATATTTTACCTGTGGAACCTAGGCTACACTCCTCCCTGTAGTTTTGCATTCATCTACCGTAATCTATTGTGGACACCATTCGTAGACACAAAGAAAGTCAACTGGTAAGTGCATGTTTTCACATGTCTCTTGGTTTCACTGGCCAAGCAAGTTGTGATGAACACTTTTAAACAGAAAAGACAAAAAGATAAAACAAACAAACAAAAAACCACACACACACACACACACACTGTTAAAATGACCAAAGGTCTGAAAGAAATACAACAGATTATGCACTTTAATGTGGCAAAATTCAGACTTTAATTAATTGCTATTTACCAAAAGTTGCCTGCTTTGAACTGAAAGATTTATTCTGTCCACCCTCAGGACAAAAGCGCGCTTACAGGCGGCCAGACGCAGCGACCCATCCCACACGGTGCCGTCGTGCGGATGACAAGTGTACTTTGAGATCGGGATGTTGTCAGCAGAACAGCCTACCTGTCATCGTAGCAGAAATCGGCATCCAGCGTGTTTACGTAGAGACCCACAGCCACAGCGGTGCATACCAGCTCCGTGAACATCTCTTCAGAGTCCGATCAACGTGTCATAAACCGGGATTTATCAGCAGAAAAGGTGTCGCTAAAGTCTCTGTTTACCCGCTTGGCAGCACGGCTTTCCGCGGGAGCGCAGACATTTCCCGATACAGACAAAGTGTGGCAAAGTTTGCCATCTTTCCTCTAACCCATGGTCGTTTCCGGAGTATCCCAGGCGCAGAGGGGCAAAGCTATCAGCGTGTGAGAGTCAAAACAGCGGGCATCTTGGCTGTCTCCACCACACGAGCATCTCCGAGCTTTGGCACCGCTCAGAGCAGAGCGCTGAGACGCATGTGGTTTTCAGGACGACGACGCATGCGCAATACCGATGTTCTGCATTGAAGGAGGAAAGGTGGTGACTGAAGTACACATTTAACTCGTGTAGTCGCTTTCTGGGGTACATCCCATTGCTTTATAATGGTCTGATATTTAAGGTAGTTCAAGCAGTCCCAATAGTAGCCTTAAAAGGCTGGCCTATGCCATATTTTGTGAAATTGCATATGGTTGATAATTTGGGTCAATAATTTGTAACCTAGACCTATTAGGCTAATGCCTTGACAGTTTGACAAAGTAATATGCAGTATCTGTGAAATAGTAGCCTATCATATAAATAAAACTAACATTTTTACATTTAGGCCTATATTGTAGCTGATTATGTGAAAAATAATGCTTAACGTGTGTACACCTGAGAATGACCTTTGTGAAGCATACACACAATCTGTCTGTATGTGCACATTATAAATCATTGTAATGGAGACTGGTGAATGGTGAAAAATAATATTTGCACAACTCCACTGTAGTTGCTGGCAATAATCTTTTGTCATGTTAATCTTTGAACTACTGCGTTGTTGCAAACCACACATTGCTCAGGTGACTGGTACAGACCACATAAAGTAATGTGAGATGCACAAACAACTGTCAGGCAGTTGGCAACTTATATTTAATCTACTGTGTAGCAGCTGAGACACTGCTCCTGCATTCACTTTTGCCAGTGGTTTAACATTAAGTATTTTTCTTTGTAGGCTATTTGATTTCTTAAGCTGTAAAAAATAGGTGTGTTCTAACAATAGAAGAAAGACAAACTGGTTGAAGAACAACTGTAGATACAACAGCTATATAGGTCCATCCATCCATCCATTTTCGTCCGCTTATCCGGGGCCGGGTCGCGGGGGCAGCAGCCTAAGCAGGGACTCCCAGACTTCCTTCACCCCAGACACGTCCTCCAGCTCCTCCGGGGGGACCCCGAGGTGTTCCCAGGCCAGCCGAGAGACATAGTCCCTCCAGCGTGTCCTGGGTCTTCCCCGGGGCCTCCTCCCGGCGGAACATGCCCAGAACACCTCCCGAGGGAGGCGCCCAGGAGGCATCCGGAACAGATGCCCGAGCCACCTCAACTGGCTCGGGCATCTGTGGAGGAGCAGCGGCTCTACTCCGAGCTCCTCCCGTGTGACTGAGCTCCTCACCCTATCTCTAAGGGAGCGCCGAGCCACCCTACGGAGGAAACTCATTTCGAGCGCTTGTATCCGCGATCTCGTCCTTTCGGTCACTACCCAGAGCTCATGACCATAGCTATATAGGTTTAAGTACCAATATTTGGTTGGGTAGTTACTTGCACTGATGGGCACTTTGCTTGGACAGAGGCTGAGGTGGACAGCATTTTTTCACCTTTTGATTGATGAAAGTACACCTCTAAGCCATGTGTCATCAAGTAATATTATTGTGAATCCTGGCCGGCCTCTCTGGACACCAGCTGGACTGAAGTCTGCCTCACAGCCAGAGCTCAGGGCAGACATGACAAGCAGATGGCAGGGGGATGTAGACTATGGGGTGTTGAGCTAACCATGACCGGGACAGTGACAGAGCAGTATGGCTTTAGGTTACAATCACACTGTCTGGTCCTAATTCACTTAACAAAGCTTGACCTTCCCCCTGAAATCTGTTGGAGTATTTTTTTTATAAGTAACACACTGTGGCTCCCTTGTTCCTCTCTTTCAAGTTGTAACAAATGACACTGAGAATAGTCCATACATTACAGATCACTTGCTATGAATCTCTTAATTTTTAATTTTTTTTTTTTTTCATTTGAATACTTTGTTTGTCTGCCTATAAAGTGGTATTTTCCTCTGTTCAGTCTTTAAGTAAAACTAACTCCGGAACCAATGGTCATCAGTGCAGCAGATTACTATCACACAGGAAGGGGAGGGGACGGTCTCAGTGTGGGATCCAGCCCTAAAATAGCACATCAACACTCACATTTGAATTGAGCAAAACTGGACTTTGTGGACTGTGACAAACAACTACTAGTCAATCTAAAAGAGAGGAAAGGCACAATATGCAAATAATGCAACCATATCATAAAACAAAACAAAACCTTACTGTTTAAAAAGTACAGCACATCCCCAGGGATTTACCATGTATCCATTTCACAATAGATAATTCATTAAAAACCTTAAGAATAATGAAGAAAATCTATGACATGTGTGGAGGGGTGCCAGTCCAAACAGCAAACACATTTGCTCAGACTTGTTCCTTTTTCCTGTACCAAGGATGTTCATGAGAAACAACTGATCCTTAAAGGAAATGCATCCGTTCACTTTTGTCCTGCTCTAAATGTGACAACAGTTTGGAAAGCCATACTTAATTGCAGCAATTTCTGTTCTCAAGCCTTGGTCATACAGCTATTTTCCGATCTCCTGTTTAGTGCAATGTTAGGAAATGAATGCCCAAGAATCAGCATCTTACTCACTGCTGGAGACTACAATTACAACATTGTTGACAATATTTATCATTAATTTGCATTTCATGTGTGGTCATTGAAGTAGATAACTATGCTAATATACTAAACATGACCTTACAAAACCTGCAAGCAAATTAAAAACAATAACAAATCCTAGAACTATTATAAACAGATTTTAAATTGTTATTGTATGCTGGGATTGGGAACCAGAAGCCTGTCAAAGTGAAACATGCTCCTGTATGCCTGAGCTAGAGATTACTAAAAGTACTATAAATGGGTACAGATGTGCAGGTGGCAACGTGACAAATAACATGTAAATGGAGGAAGTAGAAAGCTGTATGCAACACACTTGTTATTATGAATACTATCAGGGTTTGTCTATTTACATTCACTGATTTGTACACTGACTTATGAGTAAACATACACTGTAATCATCACTGTGGTCAATGTGACTTTTAATTAAAATACTTCTTTCTATTGAGAAGATAAAAACAATCAGAAATGTTTGCATGAAGTATTCATGTAAACAATGAATTGAGCTGTGTGAAGTAAAATGACGAGCCTGAAACGTACAAGGGAAAAATGGTCTTTCCAGATTTTTACCCAACTGCCCAAACCCCTGATGCCGTGCCTCCTGCTGCAGCCCTAAAACAACTCTCTATGGTCAAGATTTGCTTCAATCAAGTGGACTGGCACACCGGTTTTCCAGGTGTTTTCAGCACATCTATTTTAAATGCTTGATGAAGAACAAAAGATTGAAGAATTCAGTTACATTAAAAAATATATTTTATTCTTCCTCAAAGTAAGATTAACTGAAATATTTGGTTTAAAATGTGCTTTACAATTTCCAGTTTCCATAAAATACATCTTTTATGGGGAAAATATAAAAAATATATAATTATGAAGTCAGTTACTGATTGCTGACAGCCGCTTCATCTGTTCTTCTTGAGTCCGATGACAGCGTAGCATCTCGGTGAAAGCAGAGGATCAAAGAGCTGAACCAGAGCTGAGAATGATACATTTTCCTATGGGTAGACAAAATCCACACAGAATTAAAATAAAAAGGCCTTTTCTTCCCCCTAGGGTCTGTGGCTCTTTTGAAAGTTTTACAAAGCTTCTGATATTTTCTCCAGAGACTGAACATCTGTAAAAATATTGTGCCAGGTGTACTGCTGTCAGCGTAAACTATAAAAACTACTTTCTCACAGTTGGTTGATACATTTACATGCAAACCTGAAACATTCCTGTAGGTTTTAACATGTATTTAAACTAAATCAAAGTCAAATTCAAGTATTTGCTACCTGCTTGCATCATCCTGCACATCTTCAGCTGGTATGTGTTTATAATTTGAATCTCTTTTACAATGTTTACCTGTTCTTTGAGGTAACACAGACGATCCAGAAGAATTAAGCCTTCAATGCAAGGCGCCAGAGCCACTTTTAACTACACAAGAAAGAAAACCTCAGTAAAAAGAACATACAGCAATGTACAATTGGTTGAACTATTAGTAATGGTCCATTCAGCTAAGTCCTAGCTGTAAGAACTGATTTTGAATCAGCAAAGCTGATTCCTATTAGATGAGAGTTACATCTTTAGCTGGACATGCTCAGATCTGCTAATCAACATATTATCAGAGCAGAAATATGGTCAATCACAGGGAATAATATATTAATCATTATAAAGCAGCAATATGGTACAGTGTCGACGAGGCCAGGGAAACAAATGAGAAAATGTAGGAAAATATATATTAATAACACAAAAGATCATATTTTACTTGTTTGTATAAAAATACTAAAAAAGATTAAATAGAGAACTGTTTAGCACCACAAAAGCTGGCAACACAGGGATCCATTTCAAAAGAAACATATTTAAAAAGAGCCAGACTGCCCATCACTAATTCTCTTGCCAAAATGTGACATGACACTAACCATAGTAAAGGCCTGTAGCTCATTCATCCGCAGGCTGTATTTGTCGTGGTAACCCTGGATTTCATTATCGGGAAGCTTTGTCTCATCAAGCTCCAGTCTTTGCAAAGCTCTCCGCACGTACTCCACAAATGATTTAGTCTTGGAGTAAACATTGCCCACTCGTTTTTCACTGTGGATGAAACAAACACATAATTCAGCTGTCTATGTACTGTCCCTGTTATCAGCTCACACCAAGTAACAATAGCAAACAATCAAGGTTCAAAAATACTTAACTTAATCCTTATGTGACTGTAGTAATTTCATTTAGTTCAAATAAGCATCACTTTTAGTACAGGGTTATTCTTGTGTTACATCTTGTGATCTTAATTATCACAGTACAACACTATATCCCCTAATTAAAGGTAATGAGTTCTAGGGTGATTTATTTTTAGATCAAATATAGGGATGCGCAGATATCGATACCAGTATCGGGTACTTGTTCTCATCAGTGGCCTGCCTATACCGAGTCGATTACCACTGCAACTGCATTGCATCTTATTTGACGCTCACAACTCGTCCCTGAGCTTTGAGCAATGACGTGACCATAAAGAAACACATTAACTGTTCTGCACAGTAAGCTAAGCATAATCAT